GGGGGGTAGGGGTTTTTCACGAGGCACTTGTCGAGCTGGTTTTAACTATGACCATGCCTTGCGCCAGGAAAAAGTGGTCGCCTGTTCACAATGTTGAGTGAGTGTGTGTAACTTATGGTGCGGAAAGAATTAAGATAACAGCAGTGTGTGCTGCTCTTGTCCTAAGCCTTTGAGTTTGAAACAGACGGACAGACAGAAAGAAAGAAAGATAGATAGATAGATAGATAGATAGATAGATAGATAGATAGATAGATAGATAGAATTTTTTAAAAATTAATAGGGTTGCACACTTGTCTTTTCGAGTTTTCGTCTGCACATATCCGATCACTTCGAGCCAACATTTTGGATTAGTGCTGCATGTCCTTCAAGAAGGAGGCCAGTGACTGCGTTTGTAATTCGGCTCTAGTAATATTGCTACACAGGGCTCCAGACTTTTTTTGTGTGTTTCACGCGAGCCTTCTCGGTTTCACGGCACTCGAAACTGCACACATTAACCCTATCCGTACGACCTGAGGTCATTTTGTACCCCCGGGGTTTCATTCTTCGCATTTAAAAATACTTCTAGTACGTTGATCTTTTTGAAACTTTCAGTATTTCTCAAAAAAATCATTTTGACCGACTGCTATGCAAAGCGTACGGGTCAGATTAACGAGTAATTTTAATCTTTGAAAGTGGTGGCACAGAGTTCTCCACGTCGTATGGATACGATAGTAATTCACGACGTACGGATAGGGTTAAACATTATCAGTCGGTAGGAAATTTTGAATTTTGCCCGTGTGGCGGCGACACCTACTCTTATCGATTTTAGACCACCAGGAGATCTTTAACGTGCGCAGCTTGAACTCGGGACTTCCGAGATTTTTCACCCTTGTCCGAGAAGGCTAGGTGTCAATCTTTCCTACCAGAAGATCAGGGGTATGGCTGAAAGACAACAGTAGAAGGACCCAAGGATTAGCAGTAGAAAGGCCGCAGAAAGAGTCAGGAGCCCAGAGGAGGGGTCAAAGGAGGTGAGGGGTGGGGGAAGAAGGTGGAGATGAAAGCAGACGACAGAACATTGCTAGAGAGCAGGAGAGGAGGTGAAAGGAGACAATTATAGAGAAGCAAATTGTTTGGTCGCTACCCGGAATCGAACCCGGGACCTTTGAATGAGAGGCAAACACCTTAACTTCTGGGCCACGAGAGC